TAAGAACCTCACTTCTTCAGATGCAAGTGACTTGCATCTGAAGAAGTGAGGTTCTTACCCATGAAAGCTCATGCTCCCAGTACTTCTGTTAGTCTCAAAGGTGCCACAGGACCCTCTGTTGCTTTTTACAGATTCAGACTAACACGGCTACCCCTCAGATATTGAGTTAGTTTGACAGAATCTATTTTCCATAAACCCCTGTGGATTTGCATGTTATTTTAACTTCTTTTAGTTATTTATTAATCGAGTCCCATATCAGCCACTCTATTGTCTTGCCCCGGATCGATGTCAGGCTGACAGGCCTATAATTACCCAGCTCATCCCATTCACCCGTTTGAAAAACTGGCACAACATTAGCTTTCTTCCAGTCTTCTGGAACTTCCCCAGTGTTCCAAAACTTATTGGAAATCAACATTAATGGTCTAGCGAGCTCCCTTGCCTCGTCTTTTAAAACTCTTGGAAGCAAGTTATCTGAATTTGCTGATTTAAAAATGTCTGACTTTATTAGATTCTGTTTAACATCCTCTAGAGATACTAGTGGAATGGAAAGAGTGTTATCACTACCATAGGATGAGACTATATCATCTGTTTTTCCCCAAATGCAGAACAGACATATTTATTGAATACTTCTGCCTTTTTTGTATTGTTAATAATAATTCTACCATTTCCATCTAGTAATGGACCAATACCATTGTCAGGATTCTTTTTGTTCCTAATATATTTTAAAAACTCCTTATTGTCCTTAACTCTGATTGTCATAGATTTCTTCCTGTGTCCCTTTGCTTCCCTTACCCATTTTCTATAATTCCTAGCTTCTGATTTATATTCACTATTATCAACTTCCCCTTTCTTCCATTTGTTATATAATTTTTTTTATTTTTTACAGCTTCCTTCACTTACCCTTTAAACCAATCTGGTTTTTTAACCAGCATAGCGTTCTTCCTCAGAAGAGGGATTGTGTCTTTTTGGGCATCTAGTACAATGTTCTTAAATGATTCCCAATTATCATTCACTTTTTTTGCTGATTAAATTCTTCTTCCCAGTTGAGTTGGCTCATAATTGTTTTCAGCTTTGTGAAATTGGCCTTATTGAAGCACCAAATACATATATTTCTGGTCTGGACTTTATTCTGCTTGCACATTATAAATGTGATCAAGTCATGAAGTAATGACTCAGTGATGAAGAAATGTCGTCCACCAAAATCCATCTGATCAGTTTAGCACTGCCTGACTGACTCTAGGAACATAGATAGCATCAGTGACATATACAAGACTTAACATCATTGCAAATAGGTACTGCCTGGTCTTTTTTCAAGACAGTTCCCACCCACTGGGTCATCAAGGCTCTTCCCAGAGGTGGCACCCCCACCCAACCTTAGGCCACCCTTGTGGACATGTACTGTGATTGCTTCAAGTCCTATTTTCACATCAAGCTGATGTGCTGAATGTTGTCTGTCAGCTGCCCTAAATTCTGCAATATCACCGTGTCAGAGCAACGCTTCTTTGTAACGATCACAATGCTCTTTTCATGCTCTGCAATTTGAGCCCTACAACAGAAAAAGTGGAGACCTGTCCCCAGAGTAAAAAACATACGTTTTAAGGCTTGAAAGTGGAATGCAAAATATCCACCTTTCTTACAACAACATCATCACAACACATTGCAAACATGGTGACTCTTTTACTCCTACTCTGCACTGCCCTCATTTCCCAGGTACCCAGGAACCCTACCAGTGTCTGGTGCTGCCGTTCTAGCTCAGAGTTCTTTAGCTTTTCTATTATTAAAGAGTGGGTCCACCACTCTATTATTATTGAGTGGGTTCCCAGGTAGAACGCGAAGAGCCCTTGGTGTTTGGTGAATACAGAGGATAACCCTGGAAGCTTAGACAACATTGCCTCAACAAAACAAGTTCTGTCTGGGAACTATTGCTGGGCACACTGGCTGTCTCTTTTGACTACACCAGTTGTACCCTTCCAGGAATGCACACAATCCCAGCAATTAGCAGTGAAAGGGGTTTGTCCAGGATAACTCCCATTTCCCAATCACTTCCTTACCTCTAACACGTCCGTACATAACCATTGTAAGTGCCAGCTCTATCTAGAGAGAGAGATATATAAGCTGTAAAAGAGCAGGAAAGAACTGAGCCAGTTTTTGCTCATCTGCAGCTTCATTATATTTTATAAAAATATCGCTACTGTATCGTTCAAAATACACCCCCGAGGAATCCTTTTTAAAAGATTGTGAATAAATGTAACTGCTTGTGACAGTGAAAGCACTAACATGGCAAAGTCCCCACACTGCTGTGCAAAGTCTCTCCTCCACACCAGCCTGCTAGCCCTGGCATTTTCCAGAGCCTGGACTCTATTGAGTCCTCAGCTAGAGGTCGTTAGTCATGTCAACCTGTCTGGCTGTTTAACAAAATGGAGAAGACCACACTGTGTAACCCGTGCCAGAATTGGAACTCCCTCTTCCGAGGCAAAAAGCAGGTGGTCCAAATCAGCTTGCTATCTAAGGGCCAATCCCGCTCTCACTGACCCAGCAAACTCCCATTGACTTTGATGGAAACAGAATGGGGCCCTAATCCCTTCTCCAGCCTCTTTTTAACATCAACATCATGTCCAAGTCTGCTGCATGCTCTTAACATTTTTCAAAAGCCTACACCTGCATCTGATGGAAAGGACTCCGTACTCTGACACAATGTGTCAAAGGCTGGTGTATAATCAACACTTCACCTGCTGTCTGGTTTTGAGTTTTTCCAACATCCTGTCATGAACCAAAAAAATTAAACAATGTAATTGCCATGTTATCAGCTTTGTTGGCGGGAGAACACAGGAGCAGTGGAAATGGCTTGCATATTAGACAACAGTAGTTATTTAGAATAATATATGGGGTCTGATCCTGCATTCATGTTGAAGCAACTCCAGTTAACTCTGTGATAGCTGTGGTGTTACAAGGGGCATGGATTCTCAGAGCAATGGCAGAAGTGCTATACCACTGGTGCTCTGAACCCCACAGTAGGCACCCTGAGTGTCGCAATTATGCCAGGACTCAGAGGCACTCAGTCCTGGCAGCCCCAACCACAGCCTATATCACGACGGGTGGTGGAGACTCAGGAATTCTGAGCAGAAGTGGGTGGAGCCCCTGATTTCGGGAGCTGCATTCTACCATGGGGGGCGGGGGGCGTAGTGAAAAGGGGAGCCCGCAATCTAGAATGTAAGTATATATTTGAATGTCTTTGTTTTGCGATACATGATTGCAAATAGAGTTTTCAATGGGTCTAAGAAAGTTCTGAACAACACCAGTGTTAAGGATGACACACTTTTATCTCAAGCAGTGTTAGCTGTGGGGACAATGTGCTAACTCACTATTACAAAAACTCCAAACCATGCAACAAACACAAATCCAGCCCATCAAGTCCAACCCAGCTCTTCCCTTCATTCTTACTTGGCTTGGAAACA